AAATCGAGGGGGATCGGTTGCTACATGCTCTTTTGTACTTGCATTTGGCTGGAGTGAGAGGGGAGCTTTTTTTAAGCGAAGCATGGGAGAAGATGCGAATCTTCGGGATGATGTGGAGTGGAGGCAGGATGATGTGGTAATGGACCTGGATGACATGGAGGGGGACGATGCCGATGTGGCAAGGGGGTTAGATGAGTTGGAGGTTGACGGAGATGATGTGGCGGCGGGGCCGAAGGACTTAGAGGCTGAGTCGGTGGAGTCAGAGTTCGACGAAGACGATGTCGAAGTGGGGACCAAGAAGCAGTTTCGCCAATTGGGTAAGCTTCAATTTTTAGTTAATTTTGATTAAGATGATGTCAGTAAACAAATCTAACTTGAAGCTGAATCACTTTTGAAGCTTATGCGTACCTTGAAGCTAAACCAGTTTCAAAGCTTATGCGTCTTTATGATCTCTGTTTTGCATTTTGCATGTGAAGCTTTAGTTTTTAGTCGATTTTGGTTAAGATGATATCAGTAAACAAATCTGATTATGAAATTAGCACCTTGAAGCTGAATTGGTTTCGAGCTTATGTATACCTTGAAGCTAAACCAGTTTGTATGGGTCTTTGTGATCTCTGTTTTGCATGTCAAGATTTAGTTTTTAGTCAAGTTTGATTTTGACTAAGACGATGTCAGTAAACAAATTGATTGCGCTGTTAGCACCTTGAAGCTGAACTGGTTTCAAAGCTTATGCATACCTTGAAGCTAAACTAGTTTCAAAGCTCATACGTCTTTGTGATCTCTGTTTTGCATGTGAAGGTTTTTGTTTCTCTAGCAACTGTAATAATGAGAAATCATATAGTAATAATGACCGAGGGGGGTTTTTGTTGCAACCTATATCAGCTTCATATGGATATATACGATTTGAAAAGTGTGCAGCATTATGATTTTTTCTCTGTGTGTGTTGTAATAGATGCTTCATTTGATCGCTATGTTGTGGAGGAATCTAAAAGTGAGGAGGATGAGTCACTATATGAAGAATCTGACTCTGAAGGTGAGGAGGAAGAAATAGTAAATGAAGAATTTGAGACTTCTGAATCACAGAAGCGACCATTCTTCATGTTGGGTATGACGTTTGCCAATGCTGAAGAAGTTAAGAGGGCCATTAACCAATATGCAATAACAGAAGGTGTTAATATAAAACTCACTAAGAGTGACTCAACAAGAATAAGAGCTACATGTGGAAAGGGATGTCCTTTCATGTTTTATGCTTCAAAAGAGTGGAACAAGCCTGGATTGAAAGTAAAGACTCTTTGTTATGAGCATAGATGTCTTCGAGTTTATAAGAATCGAAGAGCTAGTGCAAAGTGGTTAGCTAGCTACTTTAAAAATAAGATTCAAGAAAGGCCAAAATATAAAGCTAATGATATGAAGAAGGATGTAGAAACAGAGCTTAAACTGCATGTGAGCATCCACAAATGCAAGCGAGCAAAGAGATTGATAATGGATGAAATGGAAGGAAGCTACAAGGATGAGTTTTGGAATTTAGAAGCTTACTGTAATGAGTTGAGAACTTCTAACCCGGGCTCAGATGTTAATGTTGAGGTGAGCAGAGAAGCTTTGGAAAATGGAAGAAGAGAATTTAATAGGATGTATATATGCTTTAATGCTTGTAAGGTAAGATGACCTTTGGCAATATCTATTTATTTTTCAATTAATTTTGTCGGATTAATTGTGATTGAATCTTATTTGTTTTGAAGGTTGGATGGAAGGCGGGTTGTAGACCATATATTGGCTTAGATAGAACCTTTTTGAAAGGTAAATCCAAAGGCATCCTCCTCACCGCAACTGGTATTGATGCTAATGATTGTTTATATCCATTGGCATTTGGATTGACTCAACAAGAAAACAAAGTTAATTGGAGATGCTTTTTACAATGGCTGAAACAATCATTAGATCTTGAGGATGGTGAGAAATTGACATTAATGTCTGATATGCAAAAGGTAGTTGTTATTTTCCAGCATCTAACTGTTCAAGTGTTTTAATATTAATTTTTTCTGTTGATGCAAAAGATTGTATTTCTGTTTAATTTCTTTTTTTTTTTCGTTTTGTCATCACAGGGGTTACACTTAGCTGCTCAAGAGATACTACCTAAGTCTGAGCACAGATTTTGTGCTAGACATATTTACGCTAATTGGTCCAAACGTTGGAGGGGACGTGAGCTTCAGAAAAAATTCTTCTCCTGCGCATGGAGTACCTATGAAGAACAGTTTAGAGACAACTTGAAACAATTGGGAGAGTTGAGTGAAGATGCAGCACGGTCAGCCCTATCTTATGGTGTACAGTCTTGGGTAAGAGTATATTTCTCTAGTAGATGTAAGTCTTGGATTGTGGACAATAACTACAGTGAAAGCTTGAATGCTTGGATATATGAGTATAGGTATCTTCCTGTTATACGCATGTTTGAAGGAATAAGAGAGAAAATGATGATTAAATGGGCCGAAAGTGATAAAATTGCACAAAAATGGAAGAATGAGTTTAGTCCAAAGTGTATTGAATTATTCGAGACAAATAGGCACTTGGCAGTGGGTTGTAAGGTTGTATTTAATGGGGATGATGGTTATGAAATAACTGAAGGATTAGATAGACATACTGTGTTTTTAAGTAAGGAATTATGTACTTGTAGAGCTTGGGATTTGACTGGGATTCCATGTCAACATGCGATATGTGCATTTTATCATGCAAAAATAGAGCCCAGTCATCACATTCACATTACTACCATAAAAGTTCATTCCTAGTGAGCTATGAGACAAAATTTCAACCTGTGAGGGGGAAAAGATTCTGGAACTTTGAGAATTCCCAACCCATGCACCCCCCACAAGTGCGAAAGTTACCTGGAAGACCAACATTGAAACGAATAAGAACCGAAGAAGCAACCAGGAGGAAAAAGAAAGGGATTGCTCAACAAAAAGCTACACAAAAGCAAGCTGAAACGTCTACCCCAACAATTGAAAGGTTGCGGAGGTCAGGTGGTAGATGTAGTATATGTAGGCAAGAGGGTCACAACAAGTCTACATGCAAGGATGTAAAGATCTCATTTGTTTTCTATTTTTTTATTTTTACCTATCTAGTAACAAAACTTTGCAATGCATAATGTTTGATTTATTTTTTTTACAGCGTCCTCCATCAACAAGTAGAAATACAACAACAACAAAAAGAGGAAGACCTAAGAAGGATACTAGCCAGCAGAGTCAAGCTACTCAAGAAGCACACTCACAAGAAATCAAACAAAAGCTTCCAATAAAAAGTTCCCACAAGAATAGAGTTGAGTGTGGCATGGGGATTACATTTGAGTTAGACACTGGAAGGGTTGTGTACAATGTACGTTTTTTTTTTGTTTTTATCTAAATTGTCCTTAATTATTATTATTAGTTATGGAAGTTTGCCCGTTTTTATTAGTTGACTGTGGCATGGGGATTAAATTGTTTTTTTTTGTTCTCATGCAAGCTTGCCCGTTATTATTATTATTGTTCTTCTTGGCCTCAGCAGCAACTCCATTTGACCGTGGTCTATCAGCTTCTCTAGCATCTGACTATTGTTATTTTCATTTGTCCAGCCTGGAATGCAAGGTGAACTTGTATTGGAGGAAGGGAATGCTCAAAATGACATGGATCATAATGTTGATCCCCAAATACGGTTTCCTATTCCAAATGAAAGGGACTTAAGGAGGAGCAGCGTCCAAACATCAAATGCTGGAGAGAGGAGGATTGAATTCATCGGTGATGGGGCTACTGGCTCAAATCCAAGTAACCTGCCAATCGACCCACCAGGTTTGACATGGATGGGTCAACCATGCCTTACTTCTTCACAGCTGGAAGCACAACGAACAAGAATGATTGTTAACCTAAAGGCTAAGTCAAGAGAAGATGGCATATAGACCATACTGTGTCAAATATTTTGATCTGATATATATATTTTGTGCTGATCGACGTACAAGATCTGATATATATATGTGTGTTGTTTAAACAATGTTCAAGACTTGTTTGCACTGGAACAATGCGCAGGACCTGAGAATCATGTGTCCTTCTATTTTGGTGTAATGTATATTATTTGAACAATGTTCAAGATTGTAAATTTTGGAACAACGTGTAAGACCATCTTGTGACCATTTTAGTATAATATTTTGGTTTAATATATATTTTTCGTCCAACAGAGGGCTCTTTTCCGTGCTGCTCTTTTTGTAAATGGAGCACTTCTGTTCACATATTGAATCAGGCATTCTTTGGCATCTAACTTACAGGTGCAGTCAAGTATACATGCTATATTTCTTATGACTAAAACATTGGATACATATGTTTGAAAAAACTTGCTTTTCCTCGTGAATAATCAATTTTTGATCGAAGAGTAAAACGTCACTCTGAGATAAAAGCGCAATTAAGAATGCCATCTTGTGGACATTTTGGTATATTATTTTGGTTTAATATATATTTTGATTTGATATATAAATATTTAATATATAAATATATATAATTTTTACAAGCTTCAACAAAACTTTACTATATCAAAAATCAAATACCCAGAGTTAGTTAATATTATTACGTCAGAAAATGACATAAAAATAAAATACTAAAACATTGTTGAGAAAAATGAATATCTGATTCATTTATCTCTTACATTGTTGAGAAAAATGACACAGTGTGAGGAGGAGAATATGGCAGCAACTAAGGACACAGATGGCACGATTACTTTCTCATTTAACTGACATCAGAGATTCCCATATCTATATTAAACTTCAACATATAAAGAAGGTTCAGTCTTTTTGGTCTTATATCACAAATCGACATCTACATCAACACGTTCTCAAAAACTAAAAAGCAAATAAAACAAAGCCATGACAGCCACAAAGCAAATTGGAGTACTTTCATCTTCTTCTTCCCATTTTCAGCTGCAATTTCAAACTTAGCTTGCCTTCTCGCCATCTTTGTCAGTTCTTGATATGTAAGACCCACCTCTGCTCCTAATCATTCACCCTCGACTCTTCTTTTCAGCCTCAAATTCTCATCATATAATGAATCTATATGATTCAATAGCTCAGTTATCACTTCAACAGGTCTCTGACCCATTTCATTATCATGCCAACTAAAATAGCTGCAGCCTCCTCCCTGTCAAGTTCAACCATCCAAACAAGCAATTCCTTCAGTATGTCTTTCATGTTTGCTTTTGAAGCTAATGAATTTGATAAGTTCCACGTCAATAATAATTATAATTTTCCAACAACATACAAGCATGTCAACATTCAACATAAATATATTCAGCAACCGCAAACCCCTCTACTACCAAATGCACAAGCATCAACCAATTTCTAGATCAACTTACTATCAATTTAACTTACTTGGTTGTATTTTCGGCAACCGTAAAACCTTCTGCCCGGGTTCTTCTCACTCCATGCTGTCCATCGAGGAGCTACCGTACCACAAAAACAGAACCTTCGACGCCCTTCATACTCAGTCTCTATTCCAACTTGTCTGACCAAACCGATCCTTCTTTTACTCGTCACCGTCGAATCTGAGTTTGATTCACCCATCACATATTCAAATGCAGAAGGGAGGCACAAATAGATGAGCAATATTTCTCAGATTTCAACGGGTGAGGCCACTGAATCGGATTTGCTGAAGACGATTAGGTCGGAGAAGAAAATTTCACACCACAGGGATTACGATTTGCTGAAGATGAAACATGGAGAAGAAAAGCCTACTTTCATTTTCCAGCCAAATGCCAATACAAAAGAGCATGTAGGAACCGATCCCCCTCGATTTTGATATCACTACAACCTTCACAATCTTTTTCAGTATCACATACTTAATCGGCCAAGAAAGAAGAAACCCTAGTGAAGGTTTCCATCTGCTGCTACTTTCTTTCCTCTGTTCGGTAAATGCTGGAAATTTTCTGAGACTAACAAGTTTTTTCCAGAGATAATATTGAGAGAAAACAAAGGAATTAAAAACAAAAGCCACGTCACCCGCTTAGGAGGCATGCCACGTCAGATTTTTTGGGTCAAATTTGTGCTGACTCATCAGTTTCACGATCAACATAACAGCTCTGTTAAGGTGGGATACCAGTGCACCAATTTAATTACTTTGAAGGCAAATTTGCACCACAAATTACTTCAGGCCACTGGGTGCACCTGGGTAAATACATGGGGGTGCTGGGTGCACCTTAACCCTTATTTTTATAAGTAACATTTGTTAAAGTAATGTTAGTTAATCGTAATTTTTGTTTTGACACTTTTTTTTATATATAAGTGTTTTGAGAATGTTGATTATACTTGAATTTCATATATTGAAATTACTTCTAAATATACAATTACCAAAAAGCAACAGGGTTAGATAAGGGAAATAGAATTTAATATAATTCTTATAAGTATTTTTTATTATTTAAATCTATTTTTAATTTAATAATTATTATTATTAACAGTGTTAGATAGGAGAATTTTTCATTACTCAACCTCTATCGAGATTCTTCAATCGTAAAATCTACTCGTGATAGTTTATGCTGAAATGTGCAATCAGGATTGAAACACAATTTATCCATATTTCAAAAACTTTAACCAAACAAAATAAATAGACTATATAATCACTTATTTGGATTCAAACGGGTTTATTTGAGCTCCTATTACTTAACCAAATATGCACTAAATGATTTTAACCCATCAATTCTTATGCTTTTCTGATCTTTAAGTATAAAATTTATTTTGTAGTAGAATTTATACTGCAAGATGAGTCTTACATTTAGGATCAGAGTAATACTTAACATATTAATTAACTTCTAGAGGCTTGATTTGCTTTCATTTTCTTTATTGAAGTGTTTTGCTTCTGTAAAACAATTGACGCGTCAATCACACTGCCTAATATGTCATGGAGCTGCTTAAACAAACAAAACCTCTTATGATGCAATGCATAACCTGTTAACTTCACGGTTAACGCGTTAACAATCTGGAAAAAAAAAGGTCTATATATGACAATCTTAAAAAACGGCTTGTTTGTGTTTCTAACGGCTATATTTCTCAATTGGGCTAAGGTATATGTAGAACAAAATACAGCATAAGGATAATGTGCATCTAATACTTAAAGTATTTTTTTAAAAGCTATCAGTATCCTAACGTATTTCATGATTTATACAGTATCTTAAAATATTTTGTTGCGTGTGTCCAATTTTTTGAAGTATTTTGTGATGTAATTTTGCCTGTAAAATATTTTTGGAGTTAATTTTTTGTCACTTTTCTTTGCATATTTTCCGTATTTATCTTAGTACTCATTCTTAACACTTTTAATAATGAGTTTTGCAATTTTTTTTGGGTAATCATCTTAAACAGTATATAGACTAATCTTCCATGTTTCTAAACTTAATCTTTAATTATTCATTTATTTTCATCTAAATAAAACACAAAAATATTGTAACAATGCCTGCCAAAACTTGCGCTGTTTTGATCGTTCAAAAGAAAAGAGGTGAAGCTCCAGTCAAGCAAAGAATCTAATTGTTTATTACTTTTATTTACAACTACCGATTAATTTATGAAATTATTGATGTACTTAACCACTTAATTATTTACTATTGCTTCCGGTAAAAAAAAAATAATTATTTACTGTTGTTTTTAAAAATTTTCCCAAATTTTTGTGTCATAAATTTTCTCAACCAAGCAGATGTTATAAATGGCTATAATCTAAGTTTCTTCTTCTTAAATATTCTTTTCTATTAATTATTAGATTTTATATAAAATAAATAATCTTTAGTTTTGTAAAATACGGCATGTAAGCCCAATACCCTCTACAAAATCTAATCAGTCTTAGGCATAAAATAGCCATTGCATCTCTGTACAAAAACTCAAATCCTATAGGGGGATACCAAACCTCATGGAAAACCAAAATCCTAAGTAAAACTTGAATTAGCAAATCAGTCAGTCGATAAGATGTCAAAATATTACTTATTTTATGTAGAATAGTAACCAATAGGAAAAAAACATTTGAAAAGTTGGGACATTATAAGAAGCGGTAGAGAGTAGGGCACTGGAGGTCGTTCGCCTATGGTTGGATAGGAGGCTTCAATGTGATGTTGGATCCCCTGCCACTCGATCATGGGCTTAGTGCATCTTATCACCAAAATATGCAGAGGCTGTTAATCTGCCCACCAGGTTTGAGGACAGAGAATTTCCCTTCCAGGACCTCATTGAGCGGGCAAAAATGCTTTCAAGTCAATTAATATGGCCTTGCAGGAAAGTAATATGGCCTTTGTATAGTAATCTAAATTTTTGCATCTTTAGCTGTGGGGGTTGATCAAAGACAGTTAGCTTATTATTCTGTAGAAACAAGAATTTAAAAACCAATCTAGTCATTGAATTGAGCAAAGATAGTGGTAGTTCAAACATCAATAGCCAAACCATGTTGAATTTTAGTTATATCGGTTATGATTAATTTAATATTTTTCTGATTTCAGACGTCAAGTATAACATTAGAAATGACTACATGCTACTTCTAATCCTTAATATTAGAATTAGTTGACTAATTTGAGTAGATTAAAAAATTAGTTAAGTTATTTATAATAATTATATGTTGTCTTTTCTAAAATATCCTTACTAATCAAGTGTATTGACTAGAACTACTATTATTATAAGGACTACCTTGAAAAAAAAATGAATAAATATGAAAGACAAAATGAATTGAGGTCTTATATTAGAACCAAAATAAAAGTCAAATGAACCATTATATTGAGAGCTGAAGGTAGTATAAAATATTATTTTACAAAATTAAATTTATAGGATGATTTTATTTTTAATTAAAAATTGTTACAAGGCTCGGGTTTGAGAGTCAGGATTCATCACTCCAACTTATGATGAGTCAGGCCGAAATGCTGCGAATTTTCTGCTTATATTAAGAAATTCTACTATTGAATTTCTGCTTACAAAAGTCATTTCTGCTTAAAAATACCAGTTGAGAGTGTGATACTTGACGAGATCACTGTTGAAGCTTTTATGGATGAAGGAATGGGGTGGCTTCATTTCTTGGAGGCCCTGTCAAGAAGATGAAAGAATAATGCAAGCGTCTTTATTTAGTTATAAAGGGGAATCTGAATTTATATTTGAAGATTATAATTAATTTAAGTATTAAAAACCAACAAATAGGCAAATTTAACCGATTAAAATTAACAATTCATTTACCTCTAAATTTCTATGATCATCTTTTACTAAAACTCCATATTTATATTATATAAGTCTCAAAATTTTCTCTAACACTATAGTATACTGTCATTAGGAAGTCTAAAATATATAGGAAATATTCATAAAGAAAGTTTAATGAAAGGAAGTAATATTATATACCTAAATTATCTTCAAAGTTTGTCCTCTCATTTAAAATGACCGTGGCTCTGTTCTCTCCCACACTCTTTCTCTCTTTTCCTCCTTCTCTCACGCACTCTCATCTTTTGCTTCCTATTCTCTTTTATTCTCCAATTAATTCCAACCACCCTTCGTCAAGTTTTTCTCTTTGCATTGACTCTTCCTCCCCAGGTCTTCCTTCTCCCCCCAAGTCTTCTTTCTTAATCAAGGGCTCAACTTTCCACCGAATTGGGTGGAAAGCTGTCCTTTTTTTTAATATATTAAAATATTATTATTTTATTATAATAATAAAATATTATTATTTATTTATTTTTCACTATTTTTTAAACATAAATCCTAAAAATTAATTTAGGATATTACAAGTTTCATAGCATTATTGATATGATTCTCACAAGTTATATTACGTTTTTTACCAATGCCACATCTCGATTTTGTTCAAGACAAATACTACTTCCGGTTTTTAATATAAGGTTTTATTTGATTTTATTTTGATTCTAGATATAAGACTTCAATCCACTTTGTCTTTCATATTTTTTTTTCCAAGATAGTCCTTCTAATAATAGTAGTTCTAGCTAATATACTTGATTAGCAAGAATATTTTTAAAAAAATAATACATATTTACTACAAATACGTAACTTAACTTCTTTTTTTAATCTATTCAAATTGGTCAACTAACTCTTATATTTACAACCGGAGGTAGTAATATATTAAAAAAAATTTCCCACCACATGATGTCGAAGACGGCTTTAAATAAAACCCTTCTAGGTGCCAGGAAGGGTGAGCAAGAAAAGGCAATCAATCGTGATGATGATTAGCTTAACACAAGTTCTGATCTTTGGTGTTGGGTTAGTGGCTGCCTTACTTTTGTATCACTTCATCAACCCCAACCCCAAACCAGGTTATGATTACTTTTTGTTGGCCTTGCAATTACCAGCCGCTTTCTGCAAACTTCAAGCTCAGCAGAGAAAGTGCAATCCAGATCCTCCACTTCCCAAACACCAAGATAAGTTTACCATTCATGGACTTTGGCCTCAGTTGAATAATGCGAACCCTCCATTATATTGTTCGCCGGCGCCGACCATGCAAGATGCTGATGTAAACTCTCTTAAATAAATATTTCTTTTGTTACTTTCTTCCTCTTCCCAATTAATATATATATATATATATATGCGCTTCAATGCAGCTTAAAGCATTCAAGCAAGATCTGCTTGATTACTGGCCGGATTTGGTTTCTGCTCAAAGCTTCCAAAGCAGCAAGGGTTTTTGGCTAAGGGAGTGGAACAAGCACGGAACATGCTCTTCAAACAAGTTCAATCCACAACAGTATCTCGGAATAACTACTGGTCTTGCCAAACAACATTCTAAAGGCATCTTTGATGGACTTGTCAATAAAGGAGGTAAGGGGAAAGAAAATGGTTGGGTATTATTTAATGTGCAAGGGATGTATGGAATGATTATTTATTACGGCAAGTAATTGGATTTCATTTTAATTTGTTTCAGCGATCAAACCAGATGGAACTATTCTACTTGGGAAGGCAAACATAGAAAAAGCAGTTAAGGGCATCACGGGTCATAATCCAAAAGCTATCATAGTTCAAAAGCTGCTTCTTGAGATTCGTCTGTGTGTCGAGAAGCAAGGGAAGGCTCTCTTCGATTGTTGACTTGCAGCTTCTTAAGCTTTATGGCCTGTAAGTCTATTTTCCAGTTGCGAAGATTTATTTTTGTTATATCTGAATCTTTATCCTAAGCAAACGACTCCTATTGATTTCTCGCCCCCTAACAGTTTGGGCGCCGTCAAGTTTTCATTCACGAGACCATAAGACAGCTGGATGAACGACACACATGTTTCTTAGTCTTCAAGTACCATCTTATTCAAGTCTTGAGTGTTTGATTCCTATAACAAAGTACTCCTCCGATCATAAATATAAGACCCAATTTATAGTGTAATTTTAAACCCAATTTCTAATATAAATTATATTACAGATTGGGTCTTATATTTAGGATTTGAGGACTGTCATTTAATAATAGTGATGTCTATGTTTGACATAGAACTGCCACCCATGTCTTCACCACATGATTTTCCTCGCATGATATCAATTTGATATAGAATGATGCAAGTATATTTAAATAGCTCAACACTTGATAATAATATGAAGAATTTTTTATTGAAAAAATAAGGTTAATACTATCATTTTTAGTTCCTAAAGTTTAACCTCATTTTGGTTTTGATTCTTGAAATTTAACTTTATTTAGTCCACCTAAAAAATTTTGGTCACTATAATCGTGTTTTTGATCTCTAAGACAAATCAAAACCACTAATTTCAAATTTCAGAAACCAAAACCAAAACAAGATCAAATTTCATTGAGTAATTAGACATATTAACATTAGTCTGAAGCGATGACTTTACTTGAGTTTTAAAATTAATCTACGACATAAAAGTAGGTATGCTTTTCCATGCCTTGAAAAAAAATCTCAAAAATGAGTTGTGTCGTTTGTAAGTAGTGCGACTTGTCATAACAAATTTTCACGTTAAAATCTACAAATATAGAAGAACTATAAAAGAAGATGAGAGTGTCACTGCACTTCACTTAGTTGATATCTTCATATCATAACTCTCATTTTACATCTCATTATCACCACTTTACTTTACTTATCTCACATTTAGTATCAATGAACTTTTCATATCTCAATTTAGCTTATAGCTAGGCTTTTGCCGCCCTCACTAAATCATAAACATAATCCGAAAATAAACAATAATAAAATATAAATTGATAAATAAGCATTGTTAAATATGTATATATGTGTTTGTGTTGTGTATGTGTTTGTGTGATTGTCAACAAATCCGAAAAAGTTAAATTTTACGATTTCATATGAAAGTTTAAAAAAAAAAAAAAGCAATCGATTTGTAAAATGAATGAAGGAGAAAACGGTCTCACATTCGAATTTATTGTTTTTGGGGGGTTGTAATTAAATCGGTCACATTCTCATCAAATTTAAAAAGCACCAAAAACCTTTTGCCAAACTTTTTTTTTTTAACCAGCTCTGCCAAACTAAAAAAATATTTAATTTATTTTGCATTGACTCCATTGAATGAAGTCGAGACATACTTTATTATATACTCACAGAAGTTAGGGAGGAAAAAACAAAAAACATGACAATCAAACTTGGAAACGAATACTGACGTCTATTTTTTTTATTATTGACAATCAGATTGCAGACACGTTAACAACATTTGCTGAAACCTTAACATTTTTAAAGTTGAGGCTAATTAGTAGTGTCCACATCATTAGTGATTAGACGCCGTACAATAATCTTATAAATTAGAGATCTAGTCTTGGTCTTCTTGGTTTTTTTAATTATAATTAAAGAGACTAGAGTATTGAGCATTATAAATTATTCCAAGTTTTTTAGCATTCATATATTGCATCTTGAAATTTGTTCAACAAATTAAAAATTAAAAAGAAAAGAATGCCATCACATGATGTGGAAGTGAGAATCTGAATAATAGAAAGAGAGCAAGTGACGCAAGTGTTTCTCATTTGATAATTGTGTCACTATATGATGATCCCAATATTAAAAACATCAAGGGATATCGATCGGTCTTGGTCTTCTTTATTTATTACAAGAGATTAGATTGTCGGCCATTTTAAATTATTCCAAGTTCCCTATCATTCATAAAATTCTGAACAGTACTAAGCCTTTAACCAATATTACATCTTGATATCTGTACTAGAAATATATATACATTAAAAAAAAGAAAAAAGAAAAAAAAAAGGCCTGCACATGATTCTGAAAATGGCCATATATGTAAAACCCTCACAGCTAGCACCAAATATCAAGCAAGAAAAGGCAAGCAAATCATGATGAGCATCTTAAAGCAAGTTTTGATATTTGGTGTTGGGTTAGCGGTGGCCTTAGTTTTATACCACTTCATCAACTACACTACCAAGGATTCAAACCAGCTCACAAGTGCCGTCCAACTCAATCCGGGATTCGATTATTTTGTGTTGGCCTTGCAATGGCCAGCCGCTTTCTGCAATATTCAACGAAATAAGCCAAGAAATTGCAATCCAGATCCTCCATTGCCCAAACACCAAGATAAGGTCACGGTTCATGGACTTTGGCCTCAGTTGAATGGTGGAGTGTCTCCATTATATTGTTCACCAGTGCCTCCTCTGCAAAGTAGTGATGTAAACTCTCTTTTACTCATATTATTTATTCTTAAATACTTTATATATTACTTCTTGCTCCTTGTTAATACTCCTGTACATATGTGTGTGTGTGTCAACGCAGCTTAGTGTATTCCAGAATAATCTGCTTGATTACTGGCCGGATTTTTTTTCTGCTCAAAACTTCCAAAGCAGCATGGGTTTTTGGAAAAGATAGGGGAACAAGCACGGAAAATGCTCTTCAAACAAGCTCAAACCACAATAGTATCTCCGAATAACAATTAGCCTTGCAAGGAATCATGCGAAGCACATTTTTGATGAAATTTTTAAACAAGGTAAGGGGATCGAAATTGGTCTGCACTCCCTCTTGTTCTTATTATAAGAGACTTTGTAGAAAGTATTTTTGGTTTTTTTTTTATAAAAACCTGTGATAGTTTCAACAAGCATTAAATATTTTTTCGTATATGCTTATATTTGATAAAGGTATTAAGAAAGAGTATAAATTAATACTCCCTCCTGTTCATGATACATAATCTGCTTCTAAAAGGATGATTTTGTCCAAAATATGTCACTTGAAGAGTAATTAATACTTATTTATAATTTTTTTTGTGCAATCAGTGCTTAATTACAAGTCCTTCTATTTTTCTCTTTCCTTCGCAACCTCTTTTAATATGAATAAAATTGAAAAGTATTCAATTAACTACTACTTTTTAGATTTAATGAATCGTTAAAGTGACTTTAATTGTAGACTAAAGGAAGTAATGTTGGGGTTCAATGTAGTTAATAGGGTAATCTTAGAAATGATTACTCGAATTTCATGACGAATTTAAATAGTTTTAACTACTTGGGAAATTTAATTTGACAATCCTTTTTTTCCCCCCTTTTTTATCCAATCTTTATTATGTGCTCAGTTTTAGTGCTGGTCATTCCGTAACGTTGTTACTTGGGTGATGTGGCACTAACCACCTCCTCCCTCAGGCCCTAGCCTCCACTCCACCGGTCAGTCTTCAAACCGTCATATCTCTCATAATCATGAGCTCTCTCTCCACCATCAGCGTCTTTATCTCCTTTTCCCAAACTAATCCTATTAGTATTCCCTTGATAATAATATAGTAGAAGAAAGAAGAAGAAAATTAAAAAAAATAATTAGGGCATTTAAAAAAAATCATATTAATTAATTTAACTAACATTTTTAATATACTTAAATTAATTAATTAAGTCTTACATTAAAAAATAGAAGAGTATTAGATATCATTTTATTAGTATATAAAAATTGGATGGTAACGTGTAAGGTGAGAGGCTGCCTTCGGTTCAATTGAGCAAAAATGTTGTTATTGGTATTCAAAAATATAGTTTAACAAAATTAATAAATGTTTCACAATTTAAGAGAAAAAAATCATGAGCCGTAATATTTACATTATGACATAATTACTTTTATAGTTTCATAATACACACATATCTTGCATATTTCCCTCTGATTTATAAAGTATTGATGTAAAAAGTATACCTTAGGAAAATAATTTAAAATTTTCAAAAATAAAAAATAGTTGACTAGTTCAAACTTCAAGATAGTTCCCGATTTTACCCTCGAAAAAGTAAAACTTAATCCTTCCTCATAACCCTTTTCAAAATTTAAGTATAGAACTTCAATTGTAGATGATGCTTCAAGTATATTTTTCAGTTTCTGAGCCAATCAATCCCCAATTCACACAGCCATCATTTTCCATCATTTTAAATAAAACATTCACTTTAATCATTAGGAACAAATTGAGCTTACAGTTCCTAAAAAGTCTGTAACTGGACTTCCAGGGAAGCAACAGAAAGATCCCTGGGAAACATTTGTCCAAACTTTAATAATTTACAAACGAATTCCAAACTTATATCCATAACTCTAGTACAGAGAAAACTGGGTATTCTAAGTAGGATTACTGGGTGTCCATTTCTAAACAAAAAAAAACAACTTGGGACCACCTGAGGCGTGATTCTGGGACAAAATGGTCACCAGCTGATGCAAAATTTATTCACAGTTTGGTCTCGTATCATGGTATCTAATTCCTAACAGCTAAGTATGGAATAGTGTACATGGACGAGAAAACAAGCTTCCTTCCATTGCATCTATCCTGCAAAAGAGAGAGTAAACATAGCAGTCTGAAAACATAATTTACAGTTTAGCCACTGTCATGTCCCCGTAATTACTTTATCCTCTGGTGACCTAAAGTGAGTCTCGACACGTAACCATCTTATAGGAACTTCAGTTTTAATTTTAACATAAATATTCTGCATTAATTAGCTTTGGCAACCACTTGTGGTTTTGCCCAATCAATATTTAACCAATTTCGTCTTCCCACGTGGATCACCTACGATAGAAAGCATTTTTTAAATATCTCTAGTTTAAGGAGAACTTTGAAAACAGCAAAATTTTGAGAGCATATAGAAAAAATTTAGAATGTCGGGACTTACTGAAAATCAATGTGAAATATAGGGAGTAAACGGTTAATGTTTTACATATTAAAACGATGAACAATTTAAGGGAAAAGTAACTTGGAGGTCCTTATGCCTTTAGTCAGTTTTGAATTGGGTCTTTAGATTTTATTTTCTTTTTATTGAATCCTTTAATTTTCAACTGGTAAGCCTTTTAGTCCCTACTGTCAAATAAAAGCAAGCACAGTTAAAATTTTTCATTAGAAAGCACTGAAATATGTTCAGGGTCTGCCTCTTCCGCCATTAACAAGCACTCAGACCAAGCTTTCCTCCCTCCCTTGCTCAGTCCCCAATATCTTCTCCTTCCTCGTCATTCTCCTACCCTTATTATTCCTTCCCACATGTAACACTTTCTCACTTTGAAATTGGGGTAAATGGGTCTTGATAATTAGCGAGTCTCACAAGAAATCACGTTACTCCTAACCCCGAAAATGAAAATGGCAAGCACCTGATGTAGAGGTTTTGGGAACAATAAACACATATCGCATGGGTATGGTGTAAGATATTCCCAAAACGTCAAAATTCATAGTGACACTTTGTAATATAAGTGGTTTTGAATTAAGGAGGGGGGAAATGCAATCAAATCCTACACCTTGTTATATCAGAAGATTGAATAGTGGGAAAGGATAAGTTGAGGATTGAGCGAATGACGGAAGAAAGCTTGGTCTGAGAGCTTGGGTATGGTGGAAAGAGACATACCGTGATTTAACAGAAAATCTTAACAGTGTTTGTTTTTATTTAATGCAAGGACTAATAGATCTAACAGTTAAAAATTAAAGGACTTGATAAAAAAGAAAAAAAGTCTAAGGACCCAATTCAAAACTGAGTAAAAATACAAGGACCTCCAAATTACTTTTCCCACAATTTAATCATCCCAAATATGCTCTCCTTAATTCTTGAACATTTTTCATAGTATTTGACAATTGAAAATATTTTTGAGGCTAATATCTCGTAACTGAAACTTCAGGCATAATTCTTGTAATAGCCTAAAAGACTGGAAAATATCCAAGAACAAAATGAATCGGACATTTGACAATAAAATTGTTCTACGTTTTAACATTCACATGATTATTTATTTGTTTAAATCAAACTATGAAAGGTAAATTAAATACTAGAAGCAGGGATGCTACCTGGTCAGCAACTTGGAGAAAATAAAGTTTATTAACTATGCACTTCTGTGGTTCATCATTTGCCCGAATATATAGTCTCCTCGATTCTCCTAATTACAACGCTAAGACTTGCACCACTTTCCAGGGCTTTAACAACAGCTCGATGTGTGGATTTATGCCACTTGAGAAGATTGTAAGATTGCAAAACCGACCATCTTGCTCGATTAGACATCTGCTCAGTGCAGCAACATGAAATTTAGTATTTCAGTATGGCAAAGATAAAACAGGACAATCAAGACAAGTGCATCTGATTTATAGAGGGACCTCAGCTACAGATAATGGAGGATCAAGTAGAAGACAGATGCCTCTAAATAGATTCTCGTCATTTTCTCCACCCTCTGCCTCTCCATAGACGAGAGCTTCAGCTGCAATGCCTGCAAAAAGCACCACGCAGTACCTAAACAATTGGTTGTGCAAACCATCAGCATCACTTGAAAAGCTGAAAAGAACTGAATAATAAGACTCAAGTTAACAGCTTCTATATTCCAGATAAGCATTGCACATTTCCTTCTTTATTTCCACCAGACAGTTTTCAAAAAGAATATGCTATTTGCACTTTCAAGACAAAATAGCCTGTTAGACAAGGATCCAATGCCTAGTCTGGCTATGACCAAGATTATTAATTGAATTCTAGTCACAGAAAACAAACTTCTAAATCTAAAAACACACACCAAGAGATTTGGCTCATTTTTCTCCATCCACACACAGCAAGCCTAGTCACGGGGCTCCTTCACCTTGAATGGTTTAACAAATATATAGTATCATGCAACTAGATGGAGATATAACAGATAAGTTAGTTTTGAATGGAACAAAAGATGGATAGGAAATTGCATTTTCCAATCCTAACTAAGAGAAGGGCCAGAGCTCAAGTGCCAGAAAACTAAGATCCCGTTGCTTGATAGATGATAAACGAAATTTTACTCAGTTTTCATTCATAACCAAATAACCCGCATAACCAGTTAACTACCCATAAAATAAAAATAAATAAATAAAATCTTCACTCAATAGGACTTGGCATGAAACTGCTTAGTTCAACATAAAAGCTCTGCAACTGTAAATGTTTTACCCACCTATCAAAGGCAGTTCCATCAAGTCGTCCTTCAGCAAGGTCATTGGCAACCTTCTCATCCCAAAACTGAGTTCCCGCCTGTTAAAATATTTTCATTGAATGAAAAAGGCACGTAAAGCCTAGTGAAGATATATAAATGGAAATGAGAGGAAGTGGATGAGAGAAAATTTATTACAGGAGAAATGTAGGAGATAAAATCGACTAGCATGGATCTGTGAAAAGTGATAAATATCAAAATACGTTACAATTTGGAAACTTTACTATCAAAGTTGTTTTGCCCTTTTTCACCCAAAAAAAAAAAAAATTGCCTTGCCAAGGCAAGAAAGAGGATGCTTAAGGTGAGGAGCAAAAGAAGAAAATGAAACCAAACACAGAATATCCAAAGTATGAAATAAGAACCTTGTATGGAAATAAAACTTGTGGAAAGTATGGCACTAAAAGCGAAACCTAGATTTAATGGCACCTCAAAATTGCCAAGGGTAAGCCAAACAAGAACCGATAAAATTACATATTAATACACCATAATATAAGAGTATAGTACCTGTCCCTGAATGCCCATTTGCATCGCAACTATTGGGTCTAAAATCACCCCACGAATTGGGCAACCCATCAAGTATGCTGTGATAGCACCAGATCAATTCTTGTAAGATGTTATATACATGACTGAGAAAACTTATCATCACATACCATGTCACAAGTAGAACCCATAATAGAGAAAGTACCCCTTTGGTCCTAAATATAAGACCCATCTGTAGTATAAATTACACCAGAACATGGGTGTTAACATTTAGGACCCGGAGGAATATAATTTACCTGTCAAGAGATGTCCTGCTTCATGAATTAGGATGCGGCGCCTATATGGCGGCCAATAGCTTGAGATTTGTGCTAAACAAGTACCACCGAGGAAGATAGAATCTATAAAGGCTAGACCTAATATTGCCGCAAGGTTGGGTCTTACGTCAATCCCTTGAGAAATGAGAAAGGATGCCCCACCAAAAAAGGCTATCAAAACAGCACTTGAAGTTCCTGAAAGACCCCACTTCTTTGGAGCAAGTTTAGACACTAAACAGAAGTAGAGAGAACATGGTGAGACTAAATTGGAGGTCATAAGATAAGCACTGGCAGGAACAACTTCAGTAACTACTATTTATTCAAATATGATACAATTAATAACGGCTGCTGAAGTGAGAATTAGAGCCATTTACAGCTTGGGGAAAATATCTGTTGGTCAGAAATTCATGTGCACCTTCTAAACCAGTTGAGGACTTCACAACATCAGGTGTAATGTTCCTTGGGCCCTCTAGAACTATACAAGATGAAAATTCAAAAGAAGGAAAAAGAAAAAGTAAGAAACACTGGCCATCAGAAGCAAACTCTGTACCAGCTGACTAGTTAGAGCAGACTTTATTAATATAAATCAATTTACTTCGCTATCCTCAGGCCATCAAGTATTTATGTCGCAGCTCACCGCAAAATATAGTATAACAGCCGTCATATGTCATAGCACAGGAGGAGATACAGCAAATGATAAATATATAACAGGTATTTTTTCATCACTGAAGTTGTTTCTGGTTCAAGGTTTATGCATATTATAGTGCCCTGTAGAGAGATGGTTAATATTTGAAACAACGTGGCAGTGTTCAGCAAGGAAAGTTTTGCCTTTGTAGTCAGAAATTCTGGTTGTATTTTTCCATGGTGGATCATATTTTCTTTTCATTGTTATTTACTCTTTTTGTGAGAATTGTTTTTTACCTTTTGGGTATAATTTCCAAGCATTTGGAGACTTACTTTGCCACAAAAATCTTACTATAACTTTTCTGATTACTTCGCATGATAAATTCAGCTTAATTTGTTGATTTATATTCCAAGAAGGAGTTGATTTTAAGCTACCGGAGAAGGGAAGAAACCTGGGGTTTCACTGACATCTACAGTGAACACAAGCAACATATAATTTTTGCACCATCAACCTCCTAACACCATTAATAGGATAACGGGAAATGTATCTTGGATACAAAGACAGTGCAGCATGTCTTAATTAGAAACAGAGGGAACGAGTTGGTTGTCAAACAAAAGTGCAAGAGGCAGTCTAAGAGATTGCCTATCGCCTCCTTTTTAGTATATTTAGTCTGATTATTCAAAAGATGTATGTTTGACGATGTCCTGCTAATGATCTTACTCCTCAAAAGAAAGTGATAAGCTGAATGCCCTTTGTGCAGCTGTTACCTACGCCAAGTTCCTACTTCCAAGCACCAAATCAGACTGATAAGAGAATGTGAGTAAATGAAGCACTGGAACTGAATAGTAAAATTAAACTAGGGAAATTGAATCGGAATTTTAAATCACAAACGGAGGGGAAAAGAAATTTGTAAACATTTCTGACAAATATTTCAGCAGCCTACGCAAGTGCTCCACCAGGCGCCATTTTAACTTGAACCATGATTCATAAACTTGAGATGAGAATGCAAAGACTATAGAATAAAGTGACTTAATTTTCCACAATTCCAGGTCCAAATAACTGCCCAAAAAACAGAAAATTAGAACAAAAACAACTCACCAATATTCCTGCATTTTCCAAAATTAGGCAGAAAACCCCTATCCTTCAACAACTTATAGGCATTAGCCACTAGCTTCATGTTATCCGCATTCAAACACGTGTCCAGGACCTCCCAATCCCTTTGGGGCCCAAATAATTGTAGCTCACGGAACCGAGACTCAAAGGAGTCAGCAGCGGAAGGAGGAGTAGAACCATCAAATAGCTCAACTGGATTTTCGTTTTCGATGGATTTCAAGAATCTCAGAGCCGTCGCGAGGTCTTTACGCTTCACTGCCTCCTCGTATTCCCGCCATTCTCGCAAAGCTCTGATTGCCTGTTGGTTCTGGTGGGGGATGTATGGCCTCGCATACAAAAGCTTCCTACTCACAGGAAAGATGGTTCGATGGAAACAAGAAGAAAATCCGTGGGAAAACGGCTGTGAGATGAAAGAATGAGAGAAAATTTCGATGGTGGGGGAAGAAGCGTGGTGCAGAGGGAGAGCCATAACATGTTAGAAAAGCAATATCTCACCGCTAAAGTCAATTTCCGTTTTATATACATAAATATATATATATATATATATTATTTTCACTTTTTAATATAAGAATTTATTTGATTTTTATTTCAATCATAAATATAAAACCCCAATCCACTTTTTTTAAAGTAATTCTTGTAATAATGATAATTTTAACAAACACAATTGATTAGTTAAGATATTTTAATAAAGACAATACATATTTATTACAAATAATTAATTTAATTAAGTTATTTAATCTACTCAAATTAATTAACTAGCTCTTATATAAAAGCTAGTTGATTAATTTAAATAGATTAAAAAAATTAGTTAAATTAATTATTTGTAATAAATATGTATTGTTGTACTTAAAACACCCTTACTAATTGAATATATTACCTCCGATTCTTAATATAAAATCCTATTTGACTTTTATTTTGATCCTAAATATAAGATCTTAATTCACTTTGTCTCTCATATTCATACATTTTTTTTCAAAGTAACCCTTTTAACAATGATAGTTTTAGTCAATACACTTATTAACAAAGATATTTTAAAAAAGATAACATTTATTTAGAACAAATAACTAACTCAACTTACTTTCTTAATCTCCTCAAATTAGTCAACTGACCCTTATAATTAAGACCGAAGATAATATTAACTAGAACCACAATTTAATAAAACATTTAACATGTTTAACTATTATAAATAAATAAATATAAAAAACAAAATAAATTAAGATCTTATATCTATGACTAAATTAAATGTCAAATTAAATTAAACTGCTTGCAAACATGGATCAAACATCAGTTTTTTTGGGCCAGCAGTTAAATATCATTTTTGCTCTTAAAACATTTTCTCATCGCCAAGCAATGAGCATCCTGGAATATTTTTTCCTGCAATGTCAAAATTTGACACTTCTAATAATTCAACTCATTATAAATCCCCCCTTCAAAAGATTTAAATGTTTGGATAAATAATTTTAAATTTGAATTTGAGATTTAAAATCTCACCCAAAATTTGTGCATTTAAAATTTTTTATTTGAGTACCATAACAAACTTTGAATTTTAATAATTAAATTCAAATGATTTTTGAAATAACTAAGCTAGACAGTAAAAGAGAAGATTTACAATTATAAAGAATTATGATAAGAAAACTTATTGCATCCAAATTCATCAATTTTTATCTACTTTAATAGAGTTGGTTTAAACCCAGATCCTCAATCGATTTTTCAACCTTCGATTCGTTGGTTAAAAAGAAACCTGCCATTCTGCTTATGTATGTATATTCAATTTTCTCTCCTTAAACGAATAACAATAAATTCATGCCCATATCTTATTGTTTAATCAAAATACACTAAACATATTCAACTTAAAATCTATTAAAACTATGTGTAGGAATTTTATTATTAATTAACGACGAACTACTAAAATATAAACAGCATCAACCGTATATCACATGCAAAAGCACCAGTTTTACAGATAACGTTCTGATACATTTGTTTAGCGCGCAGAATTTTATTTACTATTTAGATACAACTATGGAGAAAATAACATTAAACATCTATCATATATAAGTAACAAGCGAAACTGATATATACAAAGCTAAAGAAATCATCTTAAGCTTCAGACAAGCACGTAGTATTTGACTAGTGAATCAAATCACGTAGATTCTCGGGCTTACTGTCATTCTTCTGTATTGTAATGATCAAAAGGTAAAAGCCTAATGTTGTTCAGGCGATGTCATTCCAATATAGGATCATTCTTAACTTCCACAAGCTAAACACCCTGCACGGTTTGTCAAAGAACATACCATTTGTGCCATCTTGGTACCATCATCTTCCTCTTCTTTCTCCTCCACCTTTGGATTGTCCTGCATTTGCAGCAGAAATCTCTTATCAATGTGAACACTAAGAACATGAAAATATAGATTATAATGAACTTCTCGTACCTTGAGAGCAGATGTATCCACAGTGAACTTGATGGCATCTGCTGCAGCTCGTGATCGGAGGTAGTACATTCCGGTCTTCAAACCCTATCAAACCCAGGCAGATGTCAATAACAATAATTTTTTTTTTTTTTAAAAAAAAGGCAATCAACCCAAGACTCATGAACTCAGGAAAATTTTCTCAGTCTGATCCAGATTTCAAAACTTGAAAAATAGAATTACATACCTTGGACCATGCATAGAAGTGCAAGGAAGTAAGCTTTCCAAAGTTAGGTTGATCCATGTGAATGTTTAAACTTTGACTCTGATCTATGTAGCACCCACGATCAACAGCCATATCAACCAATGTCCTTTGCTTGATCTCCCAAACAGTTCTGCACCATACAAATTACGTCAGTAATAATGCATCATCACCACATTTAGGTTGGTTAAAACAATGCAAATCCCATACTTGTATATGAGTTTCAGCTCATTGGGTATTTCTGGGATATTCTGAACTGAACCATTCTCATATATGATCTTATTCTTGATCGTAGGAGACCACAGTCCCATCTCAGTCAAGTCATGAAGAAGGTGCTTGTTCACCACAACAAATTCACCACTGAGAAATAAACAAACAGGATTTAGAAGGCAAGACTGGACATTAATAAAACTAGACACAACAACTGGGGGAATTGACAACACAAACCTTATAACTCTTCGACTGTAGATATTAGAAGTATATGGCTCAAAACACTCATTGTTTCCAAGAATCTGGCTGGTAGATGCTGTTGGCATAGGGGCTACAAGAAGTGAATTTCTCACTCCATTCTTTGATATCATATCCCTGAGTGCATCCCAATCCCAAAGCTTTAAGGGTATCTCACCCCACATGTCTGGCTGAAGAATCCCCTGTTCAGATACAAAAATAATTCAAAACACTTGAAACTAAATAACTTTCTATCAAAGCAGGTTCGGCTTTCACTCATGACTTTATAACGAGATTGAAAAGTGATTTCTGAATTATATATAGATATACAAACACAAACCTTGCTCATAGGACTCCCACTATATGTTTCATAGGGACCCTCCTTTGCAGCCAATTCAGATGAAGTTTTTAAAGCATGATAATATACTGTTGCAAAAATCTCCTTGTTCAACTGCTGAGCCTGCATCCCATATCCAAGTAAACTATCAAATCAAGGTACATCTAACTTAAAATGGAGACAACAAACAGCCTCAAGGAAATGATTTACCTCTGGTGAATCAAATGCCATGCCGAGCAGTATGAAAGTATCAGCAAGACCCTGTACTCCTATACCAATAGGTCTGTGACGCAAGTTTGATTTCCTTGCAGTTTCAACTGGATAGTAATTAACATCAATTATTTTATTAAGATTGGTTGTCACCACTGCAGTAACCTGACATCAGCCAAAAGCCCATGCAACCATTTAAAGTCATGTAAAGACGCGTCAGTACAAGAAAAGTACATAGGTTTTTTTCTCTTTTCTGGTTTGCCACTAAAAAGCACCCAGCTCAACTCCATCAAAGAACTTTAGGAAGAAGTGATTTGGTTAACAGTAAATGGTACCTCTGCCAGTTTATCAAAGTCAAAATATCGATTCCTGCAGCTTGTGCTACCAACAAGCTTAGATGGATGAGACTCCATCGGAACACCCTACAGTAAGCAAGATAATGAATTCCATATTGGAAGAAACCTTGTTTTGAAAAAAAAAAAAAAAAAAACCAAATAAAAACCAGTCTCACGTGTAAAGAATGCTAGAATTCCCCACCTTCTCTCTTACAAAACGAGGCAGGGCAATTGACGCCAGATTGCAGACAGCAGTCTCTATTGGACTGGTATACTGAATTATCTCAGTACACAAGTTTGAAGACTTAATTGTCCCTAGATTTTGCTGGTTACTTTTCCTATTGCAGGAGTCCTAGAAAAAAAATAAATGACTCTCAGCAAGAGGGATCAAAGCAAAATACTGTAGTTGAAATTTAACAAGTCATGGCAGACCACCTTAAAAAGCATATAAGGGGTTCCAGTTTCAATTTGGGATTTTAGGATTTCAAACCAGAGATTCTGAGCCTGAACAACCTTTTTTGCTTTTCCCTGTGTTAAGACAAAAGCACGTATGATAAGCATCACAGCAATAAACTGGAAAGGGGCAGTCAAAGCATACAATAAATATCCTACACAAACCAAGAGTGAACTTACCTTTCTTTCATAATCAAGATATAGCTTCTCAAATTCTTCACCCCAGCAATCTGCCAAACCGGGTGCTTCATTGGGACAAAACAATGACCATTGTCCATTACTCTGAACTCTTTCCATGAAGAGATCAGGTACCCATAGAGCATAGAACAAATCTCGAGCACGGTGCTCTTCCTGTAATGATAGCACCGGTTCATAAATAATAGATATTTGAAGCAGCATTTGTAGGATAAACTACCAGGACCGTTTTTCCTTGATAGAAATGAAAGAATACCGTCCGATTTCTTCTTAGGTCATTCATACCTTTCCATGATTTTTTCGTAACTCCAAAAACTCAAATATATCAGCATGCCATGGCTCCAGGTACACAGCAAATGCACCTACAAGTGCAAGGTTTATAAAGGAAAGGCATTTTACAAGAACGTTGCGAAAAAATTTGTGTGTCATAGAAAATACCTTTCCTCTTGCCTCCCCCTTGATCAACATAACGAGCAGTATCATTGAACACACGAAGCATAGGAACAATACCATTGGATGTCCCATTAGTTCCACGAATATAACTGCCTGTGGCTCGAATATTGTGAACAGAGAGCCCAATTCCTCCAGCTGACTTGCTGATGACAGCACACTCTGTCAAAGTATCAAATATACCTTCTATGCTATCATCTTTCATGCACAGAAGGAAGCAACTACTCAACTGAAAAAACACACAAAGCCAATTTTAACAAGTTATTGCCATACTCAATAAAGTAAATGGCATAAAAAAGGACAGACCAAAGGTTCACAAAACAATGAGATAAAATGAATTGACGGGTGGCAGAAGGATAAGTACTAATCATACTTGAGGTCTTGGAGTTCCAGCATTGAAAAGAGTAGGAGATGCATGAGTAAACGATCGCTGAGACATCAAATGGTATGTTCGGACAGCAGACTCTATGTCATCCTTGTGAATTCCAACAGCTACCCTCATCAGCATGTGCTGAGGCCTTTCCACAACCTTCCCTTGAACCTTTAGTAGATAGGACCTCTCAAGGGTTTTGAAACCAAAATAATCATAGTCAAAGTCTCTGTCATAGATAATCTCACTGTCTAAACGAGCAGCATTCTGCAACCAGAAAGGAAACATCACTTATGTTAGAACATGATCTGAATTAAGATATTAACAACCAGGAACAAGCTTAAATTGCACATCCCAACCAACAATACATACTGCATATAAACGAGCAGAGATAAGAAAAGATACCTTCATAATTAATTCATAGACATCATCAGCTATAAGAGGAGCCTTCAAACCAGATCTCTCATTGAAATGACTATACATGACTTTGACCCTGGAACCACCAGATTGACACTACAGTAAACAACAGATCTGCAAGCCTGAATAAACTAAACATGTATACCATTTCCAGAGATACTTACGTCTCTGAAAATGACTTTTGAGTGTTCTTGTGGAGATTAGAAACGGCAATCCTAGCAGCCAACTGCATATATGATCATGGAGAGCAAACATGCAAGAATAAACAAGCAGCGATGCGAACCTTTTAAACCAATGTTCCGTCAGAAAAGCCTATCGTCAAGTCCTTATTCAGTATACCGCCCCACAGAACAAGGATTACATATCAATTAAAAGTGATCCAGGCAAATCCCATCATCAAAATCAAGGAACTAATGACATCGAATTGAACGTAAGTCTCCTGTCAATCAAAACATACTCCCCAAAAGATCTAAAATCAAACACCTAAACCATAAGGAAGGACAAGAAAAACTCACACAAGCGTAGTCAGGGTGATTGGCAGTCATCGCAGCGGCCGTTTCAGCAGCCAATTCATCCAGTTGGCTAGTGGTTACACCCGTATAGACACCAGCACATACTTTTTGCGCCACCATGACGGGATCACAGTGCTCGGTGCTCAGTCCATAACTGAGCTTCTTCAATCGGGCGGTTATCTTATCGAAATGGACTGCTTCTTGACGCCCATCTCTCTTCACGACGTACATCTTTCACAAACCGCAGATAAGCGTTTCTCTGAAGAAGTGATCAGATTAGGCCCCAATATATAGTAGATAATGGCGGGTGAGGCGTGGGTTTCAAATTTGGAAATTAGGGTTGACTAATTGATTAAGCTTCCTGTGGAAGTTTGCAATTTGACATTTTCCCGCCAGATTGTCCGTGGTTTCGAATTGGAGGAGCCGTGCCTTTTTATCGTGTGGATTGCGGTGGCGGGTAAATGGGGCGAGCTGGCACTGTCCGGCTCCGCAGTGGGATGGGACACTAATTTAAAAAAGTTAAATAAATAATTAAAGGGAAAAAAATTACAGGAAGGCGCTGAAAGGGCAACCGCGACTCCACAGGTAAAAGCATGAGTATTGAAACTGGACTAGCTACTAAATTGTTCCACTCAGTAAATCAGATCGGAATCGATTTGAAAATCAAACTAGTGAGAAATGAAAAAAATTAAAAACGATTTAAATTTTCATGATAACATCTAAAGGCCAAATACTAATTTATTACTTTAAATTAAAAATAAAATAATCATATACTTATAAAAAAAATTTTAAGTTTTCTTTACAATTCTTTTGACAAATTAACACCATAGTATCATATTAAAAAAATCACTATACATTAATCCTAGCAAAATATCAAAATACCTATATGATAATAGAATATTCCTACCTACAATCTATTAATCTTTAAAACTAAAAAATTTTTGGCTCAAAATAGCTTTAAAAAAAAAAGCAAATGAATTTACCCACCAAATCAGGCAAATTGATCCTAGGTTGGTATGGTTTACAATAGGTCACTCTTGGGTCAACTAGACTCCGGTCTACATGCTCAACCATACTTGTTACCTGCTGGTTTATCGGTTTTTGAGTTAAACCAACTAATTTAGTCTGGGTTTGCCTACTATAAGCGAGAGCAAAAATAAAATCGAACCTTGTGTCAACTAATAAAGATTAGAATGAGTTGGCTCTTATCTCATTTTAAAATTTAGAAGTCCTTTACGTAATTTATATGATAAAAGCAAAAATATATATTTGCTTTTTTAACTTTATATAGTATTTTAATTTAGTCCATTAATTTAGAAAAATATCTTTTAGTCTTTTATAATAGTCATAATTATTTTGAAAATTAAAATCATATATTAACATTTAAGAATGTTTTATTAATATTTAATATCTCAGTAATATCATTTTTGTTAACAGTTTGGGATTGAAGAACCAAAAATATATTATTAAAATTAAAAAAAATTGAAATATTGTGTAAAGTTAAAAAAAGTTAAAAATATACTTTGCCAATAATAATTAGAACTTTGATCATGCCAACTCAGTTTTTTTTTTTTTGCTAAAGCATAGATATTCTCCTATTGGAGGCAATCCTATTTGAGATACTGTTGAGTACTAGATGTGAGCACATTTCCTAGCAGAGATTCGAACTTTAGTTCACCGCGTTATGAGGGACTAGTTCCTTCTGTTAAACCCAACTCCTATTGGTAACTCAGTTTAGTTTGAAAATAAACTTGCTCTGTCTTGCCGCTATCGGTTTCATATTTTTTGCCTCCACTCTAAAAATTCATATGTTGAGTCACACTTATCCAAATGAGGTGATTTTGAACATGTTTTAAAGCTCTGAAGGTCCTTTATAAATAAAAGAGATATATACAAAAGACTCTGGTCCAATTGATATAGTTATACATATTACATAGAAAAGTAGAGAAAATAGAAAAGTTGAAAAACAAAGCAAAGTGGATGACAAAGTCAACAAGAGAGCACTAATAATCACTAGGTTCCTCATTTAATGCTCATTACATTGATAAGTAGATGCAATCTAAACCATCCAAAATTTGACATGGATAATTCAGATTTAAAAATTTTAATATAAAAAATTTTTAATAAGAAATTTACTTTTTAAAGAAGTGTTAGTTATAAGATTATCTTTATTTTGAATTTTGTACCTATTAAAATAAAAAATTAATCAAAATATATAAATAATTAAATTCAATCTGAACCATTCAAAATCGATATGAATGATCAACTTAGGTGTTTATTATTGTGATGAGCATAGAATGTGCTCCTAAATGAAAGTCCAAAGACAAGAATGAGAATAAGATTGCAAGTCAATTTTAGAAATTAGAGTGTGAATGAGTTAGAATTCCTAGAGTTAATAAAATGAAACAAAAAATAAAAAGAAAAAATTAAGTATTTAATTCTTAATCCTTATAGTTTCATCCACTTTGTAACTCCGTTTTTGAAATTTGATTTTGTCATGACTCAATCCCTGTAGTTTGTAACTATTTTTTAAAATTTTATAACCTTACTATTTTTTAAAAATTAAACTCATTAAAATCATCCTATCTCCCCATTCTCCAGATCAAACAAAAGATTAATGCAATGTAAAATTTAATTCTACATCGTGTAATAACTTCCAGTTTACTTCGTACAAATAAACAAATATATAGTTCATAATTTTAAAAGGTTAAATTATACGTTTCATAATTCAGACTTTTATTTGGCACTTTAAGTTTGACAAAAGTATATATTTTGGTCATTTACCTATATACAACATTTCAGTTTAGTTTTTTAATTTTAAAAAATATGCTTTAAATTCTTCAACCTTAAAATCATTAGTATTAAATAATGATTTTTTTTGTAACAGCCATGGTTATTTTGAATATTAAACTTAATATGTTAGCATTTAGGAATATTTTATTAACTTTCAATATCTTAATATCATCATTTTTTTAAAAAGATTTTAGGGTTAAAGAGTCAAGTATATAGTTTTTAAAATTAAATGACCAAATTAAAAGATTAAAAACATACTTTAAACTTTAAAATTTAGTTTTTAATTTAAAAAAAGTATATTTTTAATTTCTTAATTTTAACACCATCCTCTCACTTAATAAAAAATGCTGACTCATTAAATCTAAGCAAAGACTCCACGGTCAAATATTGAAAGAACATGCTTTAAATTTTAATTTTTAATACGACCATTTTAAAATTTTAAAAGTTGGGCATTTAATGAGTCGAATATCTAATAAAATATTAACAAACCATATAATTTTTTTGCCAACATTAAAAATACTGCGTTATAAACTTAACCATTTACAAATATGATTATATTAAATTTTAGATCATCCATTGTGTCATCCATTGTGTAACGTACTGTAAAAAAAAAAAAAACAATACCCAGCTTTTTCGGTGGAAAAGCTGGGCAATTAGTCAAGAAGAAAGAAAGAAGAGGCGCAAGAAGTAAATGGAGGAAGAAATAAGGGGTGGGCATTAAATTGAAGAAGGAAAAATGGGGGATGGGGTAGTTAGATGGTGAAGGGAAAATAGGATAAAAGAGGGGGAGAGGAGACGGAGGAGGAAGAGAGAAGAGAGTGAGAAGCGGAGAGGAAAAGAGAGAGAAAGATAAATTGCAGAGTACCTGACGGTTTTGGAGATCATTTAGGTACACAAAACTACTTCTTGTTATCATATTTTCTTTATGAATATTTCCTATATATTTATATCTTCATATTATTAGTTTCATTATCATGTTTAGAGAAAATTTGACTGTTTGGGTATAGAGTAAATATGGAGTTTTGACAATATATGACCGTAGAAATTTAAAGATACATTATTAAGGAATTTTAATCGGTTTATTTTTGTTGAATGATTATTTTGAGAATTTTAAACTAAGATTTTAGTTGAAAAGTTTGTTATTTAGACTTGTAATATGTTTTTACCGATTAAATTTGAGTTAAATAATTTATTTGAGTTATTTAATATATTATTGAGATTTTAATCAGTTTAAATATTGAATAAGTTAAATATATATTTTTGAAATAATTTTTGAAGGCTTGAAAAATTATAAATTGAGAATTTTGTGAAATTAAATAAAGCTACAGTTTGTTTATAATTAAAAATATATATATACTTTTGTTAAGTTTAAATAGCCTTATATGTAAATTATTTTTCAAAATAATATCTATTATAAATGCCTAGATTTGAGAGAGTTAATATATTTATGTAATTTTGGTTTAGAGGGTAGTCTTAGAATTTTAGAGTAGCTTTGGAGTAGTTTTGAGTTTATGTTTATGTGCAATTTTGTAGACTTGAGGATTTTGGAGTAATCTTTGTGTGAATATTTGTAAGCTAAAGAGTACCAGGTAACTCTGAAAATTCTTTCTTGTACATGTGAATTGTGTATGATTATATTGTGGATTTACTAATTATTATATTCCTGAAATATAATATTATGATTTTTGTAAAATAAATGTTTTGGTATGCTACATGATTTTATTAAGATTTGTTGCTAGTAATTATGATCAATATTTAAATATATTAATAGCTATGAAATTATCATGAATTGCTATTAAATGGTATATAAGTTTTATTGCTATCTTATTTTTAATATATGAGGAAGTATTTATGATGTAACATTGTTGGCATCTGACATGCATTGTTGGGCTAAGGATAGAAGGAGATTGCATGGATATAAAATTACCACATGGTATGCCATCACTCGGTGCACAGTGGATGACACTTGTCAGGGCCCCTTCTTCCATGTTTTTCTTTGGCCGGGAATTTATTGGAGCTGTGGGACATGTGACACCTCCCTATTCACAAAGGAGGGGAGCCATAGTCCGAGCTTGAGCTTTATATCTTTGGCCGGATATATCTCTAGTATCGGTGAGCTTGGAATAATTCAGTAAAATGGATTAGTTCCTATCGGACTATGTGTTAGCCTATGGCTCCAGTCAGCGGTATAAGGGTGGACGGTGATATAAGGGAGGCAGCATATTGCATTATTTTTGGACATATTAAAAAAATGATATTGGTATATTGTTGGAAAAAAAAATGAAATTGAATTGGATGTCTCAAATCCGTGATTTTTAATATATTTATATACACACATATAAACAGATTTTTGGTTTATCATATATGATTTGCTTGTATAGGTTAGAATTTCAGTAGTTACTGAGACGTTTGATCTCACCCCCTATATTAACAATTTTCAGGCGAAGGATCTAGTAGGAATCAAGAGAAGGCACCAATGGAGTGAGCCGTGAAGGCTTTTGTGCTCCTCAAGCACATGCTATGTTATATTTTTATTTGCCATGACTATAAGACTAATAGTTTATATTGTTAAGTTATGTTAGAAATGTTTTGAAATTTTGACTTAATTGCAGTATTAAAAATATGTATGGACTTTT